ATTTTTCCTCTCCCCATCATTCGGCCATGTGTTTTCGGATTGCCCCAAACGACGGTAACCCAACGTAATCCAGGTCATAGGCCTAGGAATACTCTAGGGATGGGGCATTCTACCACTCCCCATCACTTGGGTTTCGGTTCTTGATTGCCCCAAACAATCGTAACCCAACGCAATGCAGGCCATTGGCATAGGAATACCCTGCCTAGGCTTTGACCTTGATGGTTCGATCGATCCGGACCCGAATGGGTTCGATACGAATGGGGCCGGTGAATCCGGATCCGGATGGGTTCGATCCAAATGGGTTCGATCGACTCGGATCCGGATCGATTCCATCCGAATCGGTTCGATCGAACCGGATCCGGATGGGTTCGATCGATCCGGATCCGGATGGGTTCGATAAGGATGGGTTCGATCGACTCGGATCCGGATGGGTTCGATACGAATGGGTTCGATCGACTCGGATCCGGATTGGTTCGATCGACTCGGATCCGGATCGATTCCATCCGAATGGGTTCGATCGAACCGGATCCGGATGGGTTCGATCGATCCGCACCCGGGTGGGTTCGATCCAAATGGGTTCGACCGACTCGGATCCGGATCGATTCCATCCGAATCGGTTCGATCGAACCGGATCCGGATGGGTTCGATCCGGATCCGGATGGGTTCGATAAGGATGGGTTCGATCCGAATGGGTTCGATCGACTCGGATCCGGATGGGTTCGATCCGAATGGGTTCGATCGACTCGGATCCGGATTGGTTCGATCGACTCGGATCCGGATCGATTCCATCCGAATGGGTTCGATCGAACCGGATCCGGATGGGTTCGATCGATCCGGATCCGGATGGGTTCGATCGACTCGGATCCGGATGGGTTCGATCGGCTCGGATCCGGATGGGTTCGATCGATCCGGATCCGGATGGGCTTGGGTCCGAAAGGGTTCATTTGATCCGGATCCGGACGGATTCGATCGATCCGGACCCGGGTGGGTTCGATCCGAATGGGTTCGATCGACTCGGATCCGGATGGGCTCGATAGGGATGGGTTCTATCCGAATGGGTTCGATCGACTCGGATCCGGATGGGTTCGATCGATCCGGATCCGGATGGGTTCAATTGATCCGGATCCGGATGGGTTTGATCCACACGGGTTCGATCGATCCGGATCCGGATCGGCTCGATAAGGATGGGTTCGATCGACTCGGATCCGAATGGGTTCGATCGATCCAGATCCGGATCCGGATGGGTTCCATCCGAATGGGTTCGATCAAACCCATCCGGGGTCCGATCCGGATGGATTCCATCACTTGGGTTCCGGGGACTTGATTGCCCCAAACGACGGTAACCCAACGTAATCCAGGTCATTGGCCTAGGAATACAGGAGGGAAGGGGTGCTCTACCTCTCCCCAACCCTTGGCACGGGCCATCGGATTGCCCCAAACGACGGTAACCCAACGTAATCCAGGTCATTGGCCTAAGAATACGGGGGGGAAGGGGTGCTCTACCTCTCCCCAACCCTTGGCACAAGCCATCCGATTGCCCCAAACGACGGTAACCCAACGTAATCCAGGTCATTGGCCTAAGAATACGGGGGGGGGAGGGGTGCTCCACCTCTCCCCAACCCTTGGCACGGGCCATCGGATTGCCCCAAACGACGGTAACCCAACGTAATCCAGGTCATTGGCCTAAGAATACGGGGGGGGGGAGGGGTGCTCCACCTCTCCCCAACCCTTGGCATGGGCCATCCGATTGCCCCAAACGACGGTAACCCAACGTAATCCAGGTCATAGGCCTAGGAATACCCTAGGGAAGTGGCATTTTTCCTCTCCCCATCATTCGGCCATATTTTTTCGGATTGCCCCAAACGACGGTAACCCAACGTAATCCAGGTCATAGGCCTAGGAATACCCTAGGGAAGTGGTATTTTTCCTCTCCCCATCATTCGGCCATGTGTTTTCGGATTGCCCCAAACGACGGTAACCCAACGTAATCCAGGTCATAGGCCTAGGAATACCCTAGGGAAGTGGTATTTTTCCTCTCCCCATCATTCGGCCATGTGTTTTCGGATTGCCCCAAACGACGGTAACCCAACGTAATCCAGGTCATAGGCCTAGGAATACTCTAGGGATGGGGCATTCTACCACTCCCCATCACTTGGGTTTCGGTTCTTGATTGCCCCAAACAATCGTAACCCAACGCAATGCAGGCCATTGGCATAGGAATACCCTGCCTAGGCTTTGACCTTGATGGTTCGATCGATCCGGACCCGAATGGGTTCGATACGAATGGGGCCGGTGAATCCGGATCCGGATGGGTTCGATCCAAATGGGTTCGATCGACTCGGATCCGGATCGATTCCATCCGAATCGGTTCGATCGAACCGGATCCGGATGGGTTCGATCGATCCGGATCCGGATGGGTTCGATAAGGATGGGTTCGATCGACTCGGATCCGGATGGGTTCGATACGAATGGGTTCGATCGACTCGGATCCGGATTGGTTCGATCGACTCGGATCCGGATCGATTCCATCCGAATGGGTTCGATCGAACCGGATCCGGATGGGTTCGATCGATCCGCACCCGGGTGGGTTCGATCCAAATGGGTTCGACCGACTCGGATCCGGATCGATTCCATCCGAATCGGTTCGATCGAACCGGATCCGGATGGGTTCGATCCGGATCCGGATGGGTTCGATAAGGATGGGTTCGATCCGAATGGGTTCGATCGACTCGGATCCGGATGGGTTCGATCCGAATGGGTTCGATCGACTCGGATCCGGATTGGTTCGATCGACTCGGATCCGGATCGATTCCATCCGAATGGGTTCGATCGAACCGGATCCGGATGGGTTCGATCGATCCGGATCCGGATGGGTTCGATCGACTCGGATCCGGATGGGTTCGATCGGCTCGGATCCGGATGGGTTCGATCGATCCGGATCCGGATGGGCTTGGGTCCGAAAGGGTTCATTTGATCCGGATCCGGACGGATTCGATCGATCCGGACCCGGGTGGGTTCGATCCGAATGGGTTCGATCGACTCGGATCCGGATGGGCTCGATAGGGATGGGTTCTATCCGAATGGGTTCGATCGACTCGGATCCGGATGGGTTCGATCGATCCGGATCCGGATGGGTTCAATTGATCCGGATCCGGATGGGTTTGATCCACACGGGTTCGATCGATCCGGATCCGGATCGGCTCGATAAGGATGGGTTCGATCGACTCGGATCCGAATGGGTTCGATCGATCCAGATCCGGATCCGGATGGGTTCCATCCGAATGGGTTCGATCAAACCCATCCGGGGTCCGATCCGGATGGATTCCATCACTTGGGTTCCGGGGACTTGATTGCCCCAAACGACGGTAACCCAACGTAATCCAGGTCATTGGCCTAGGAATACAGGAGGGAAGGGGTGCTCTACCTCTCCCCAACCCTTGGCACGGGCCATCGGATTGCCCCAAACGACGGTAACCCAACGTAATCCAG